AGCACTGTTCTGTTTACTGACCTTGGATACATGTGTTTGGCTTGATAGTAATTTGTTGAACTACAGGTTTATGTTACTTGATAGTTCACAACAAGAGGAGTTTTCCAGAAAAGACACTAGAAGGAACACAAAAATTCCAAGAGCTACATTAAAGCAGTGGAGTTAGAGACAATTTTTCCATGTATTCCCTTTTCTTCACTTATCTTGTACATTTTTTAAAGATTTATTTGTTTGTGCAAAAGGAGTAGTTATAGAAGCAGAGAGAGAAGTCTTTCATCTGCCGGCTCACTCCCCAAATGGCCACAATGGCCCAGAGCTGGGCCAATATGAAGACAGGAACCTGAAGGCCCCTCCAGGTCTCCCACATGGGGGCCAAGCACTTGGGCCATCCTCCATTGCCCTCCCAGGCCGTATCAGTGCGCTGGATCAGAAGTGGAACAGCCAGGTCTTGAACTGGCACCCATATGGGAGGCTGGACTGTAGGCAGCAGTTCCACCCCCCATGCCACAGCACCAGCCCCACCCCGTACCTGGGTTTCATACACTGGTCTTCTTCTAATTTTTATTCTTAGAGAATAACATCTTTCTTCTGTAACTCACACTCACACTTTCATGAAACCTCCTTGTGTTTGTTCTGACTTCAGCCCGCATCATGACCCTCTTTCCAATCCCTCTGCATCCTCTCAGAGGTCTCAGCAGCACGTGGCGCTGACCACCACCACTCTTAAGGCCAGAGCCCGGCGGACCTGTCGCCTGTTCCCTTGGAAGTCCTTTTAAAGCTGCAACGTCTTAAACAGGTATTTTTCCTTTTCTCAGCAGGATCTCTAAGAGTCAGAGGACCACCACTGGACAACTGCTTCCCAATCACTACATAAGACTTACAGAAATGCTCATTAGCTTCCTTAGAGCTTCCATATCAAAATCTTCAAGGAGGGCCAGCACCGCGCCTCACTAGGCTAATCCTCCACCTTGCGGCGCTGGCACACCGGGTTCTAGTCCCGGTCACGGTGCCGGATTCTGTCCCGGTTGCCCCTCTTCCAGGCCAGCTGTCTGCTGTGGCCCGGGAGTGCAGTGGAGGATGGCCCAAGTGCTTGGGCCCTGCACCCCATGGGAGACCAGGAGAAGCACCTGGCTCCTGCCTTCGGATCAGCGCGGTGCGCCGGCCGCAGCGCGCCAGCTGTGGCGGCCATTGGAGGGTGAACCAACGGCAAAGGAAGACCTTTCTCTCTGTCTCTCTCACTGTCCACTCTGCCTATCAAAAAAAAAAAAAAAAAAAAAATCTTCAAGGGTGGAGCACAGTCATGTATTTTTAAAGAATTTCACCACAATTCCCTTGTTAATCAAAGGTGAAGAAGGCTTTCAGAGATTTTTCTCATTCACTCTCATGGTTTAAATTTTTGGTTCTTAATATAAGAGTCTCACTGGGGTCAGCGCTGTGGCGTAGAGGGTAAAGCCGCCGCCTGTAGTGCCAGCATCCCATGTGGGTGCTGGTTCAAGTAACAGCTGCTCCACTTCTGATCAAGCTCTCTGCTGTGGCCTGGGAGAGCAGTAGAAGATGGCCCAAGTCTTTGGGCCCTGCACTCACATGGGAGATCCGGAAGAAGATCCTGGCTCCTGGCTTCAGATCGGCACAGCTCCGGCCATTGCAGCCAACTGGGGAGTGAACCAGTGGATAGAAGACCTCTCTCTCTCTCTGCTTCTCTCTCTGTAACTCTGACTTTCAAATAAATAAATATTTTAAAAAGTCTCATATCTGCATCTCTAACCTCATTTTTTAAATTTATTTGACA